TGTCGTCTTGATCGGGATGATCTCGCTGTCGAACAAGCCCTCCTTCTGCGCCTTCAGCGCCTTCTCATGGGACGCCTCCGCAAACTTGTCCTGGGTCTCCCTCGAGATTTTGTACTGCTCCGCCACGTTCTCGGACGTGATGCCCATGCTCAAAATGCAGGCCTTTGCCATGGCATTCTTCATGATGTTCGGCGACAGCTTCTTCTGGTCGTAGGCGCAAGCCATCGGGTAGGTGGACATCGACTCCACACCCCCTGCAAGGCCAACGTCGATCGTGCCTGCCTTGATCGACTGCGCAACAGTGGCAACCGCCTGTAGACCGCTGCTGCACTGTCGGTTGATGGTGTACATGGGAACCTCGTATGGAAGGCCAGCAAGGAACATCGACATCCTCGTCCCGAAGCCACCAGCACCTGGCTGCAGTGCATTCCCAATCACGCAATCGCCGATCTCCTTGGGGTCGATCTTCGTCCTCTCGATCACCACCTTGAAGACCTCGGCCAACAAGTCTTCTGGCGGCATCTCCTTGAAGCCTTTCCCGGCCTTACCGACCGCACTGCGCAGGGCACAGCAGATCACCACGTCATCATCCCCGGGGGTCGCTCCAGAAATCGCTGCCGTCGGTTGCGCCACCAACTCCGGCGCGGACTCCGCGGACGCCACGACGTGGCCAGCGAGGCGCTGGAGACGCTGCATCTTGGGATGGTCTGAGGGAAAGCTGATGCGACTGGCTTGAAGAAGGGCTTCTGGAGCCGTAAAGAAGGGTCCTGCATTTTCTGAAAGTCCCGTACAAGTTGAGGGGGAGGAAGTCTGAAACCTCACAAGAATGGAAGCAACTTGCGGATGCAGCAGCCCAACATGTCTGCCAAGTGATGCTCACCAGTCATGTTGTGACACCTGTCTACAGATGGAACAGAGTGGGAATGAAGCTTCGGAAGCTTGGAGGCTCAATTAAACCGCCTATAGGACCTTATAAGCCCTATTCCCCTATAAACCCCTATAAACCCGAAACCATAAAAAATAAGCCGATGAGGAGGGCCTCTGCTTGTAGCTCCGCTTGTGCCGCCTGGAGATCTGGGTCGCCGCCCGAGGTCACCTTTCGGCTATGGCCCGACATGTGTTGTAGAGGTTTAGGGGTTATAGGGTTTAGGGTTTAGGGTATGGCCCCAGTAGAGGTTTAGGGTTTTAGAGTGTATAGGGGGACATTTCCTGTTCCCCACATCTCATATTATGCTTTGCCCATAAAATACTGCACCTACAGACCTATTATAGGAAGCTTATATTAAGGCCAAAGTATGTATGCTCTATAGGTACAGTAGATGGACCCTTTGAGTGACGCCCAAACAGGCCCAGTAAAGCTGCAAAGCCACAGCTCTGCGTGCCACTGCTGGCAGCCATGATTCTCAACATGTGACTGCTAGACCTTCTTGGGACCTTCTTGCTCTCCGACCTGCACCACCATGCCCACCCCCCCGCACTGCCCCAGAAGAACTGCCAAAGCTCTGGAAGCCATAACAGGTTCCAGAAATGGGGACTTGACGAAGTGCGCCACAGCCCTCAGCTGTAGAGGTGCTCGACTGCCCACTAGCGAACAATCCCTCAAGCCCAGAACTCGGAACCACAATAATAATGTAGGGGCCTGAATTCCTGAATAATTACAACAGAGCTTTGCGGTTAATACTTGTAATAAGGAGCCCGCAACATAGTATATAGTATCGGTAGTTATTTAGGCCACTATATATTACATCACGCAAGCCCTGTTCCCTTCGTAGACCATACACCATGATTGATACAGTTCCCACGACTCTTTGCCCCACCTCTCGCGGCTCGTGTCGCAAAGTCTCTGCCTCCTGCTCGGCCTGCCCAGAGACTCCAATACCCCTTAATTAAGGAATATACCTTAAATCTTATTAGGGATCCCTACTATAATTTAAGGTATATTCCTTACTTAAGGGGCATTGGAGTCTCTGGGTGCAAGGGTCCCTCTTAGGGGCGGAAGGCTCCAGGGCTTTTTCCCACCCGCCCAGCTTTCGGGGTTTAGGGCTTAGGATTTACACTAAATGCAACAAACCCCGAATCCTGATTCGTATCAAGTGCTCAGGGGAGGCTGGATTTCTCCAGTTCCGAGTGAGGTAGTTGGGACTTTGAGGCTTCAAAGCTTCTGGCGTTTTCAGGCTCGTTTGGGACGCAACAATTCACATGAAAGGACTTCCCAAACCCCATGAAGTCTTCTGACACACTTATCCCCCGCCCAACCCCCCTTCCCCCGTGTTGCTCTTACCCACTGCTGCAGTGAATGCTTTGCAGGATGCCGGGGGCGGGGAGGGGGAACCACGGTCAGAAGATTCTACATGTCTGCCACGGGACATCGCACTTCGGCTGGACATGTCCAGAACCAGTTTTTCACATTCCTACAGCTTCTTGCTGGCGCTTTCAGCAGTGATTGTGGCAACAGTTTTGCTGCCAGCCACTGACGACATGATCGCGATGGTCGTGACAGGTGCATGAAGCGATGAACTGGAAGCTATGCTGAGGTTGATGTGGCTGCAGGGCAGCATCTTGCTGGATTTGATAAGCCAGTAGATGTGTTGATGCATGCGGCATGTTTGTGCATTCATATGTGGGCACGTGCGTGTACATGCCCTTCTTCATGCATGCATCTGTGCTATGTGGATGCGACTGCAAAGTACTGCGCAGGGGTCGGCTTGCAACCTTCAACGCATGCACGAGAGCATGGATCTTTCACTGCATATGTATCTCCTCCTCATAGCAACTATAGTTCTGTGAGCAGAAGCTCTAAGACAAAATTATGTAATCTGTCAATACGTCGCTTTCTTTCGCCAGGGCTATGGTGTAGGAAAGCCCCCATACACCGCACGCTAGTGACGCTAGTGCGGCCCCGACAGTTGCGGGTGCCATGATGTTGCAAGCATGCCACGACAAAGCAAGGATCTGACTAAAAAGGCCGTGAGCCGCCCTCGGAACTAGGCGAGAGCCGGGTTCAACGTCAAGTCTGTATGCGAACATTTGTCGCTCTCTCTCTCTCTCTCCCCTCTCTCTCTCTCCCGCTTTCTGCCGTTGCATCTTTTTTTGTAAGTATTCCGAAGACCGGCCCCCGCCTGCTCGCGCTGGTGTATCTCCTGGAAGTAGGCTCTCATCTTTGATGATTTTGGGGCTCCAGGGATGAAGCTCCAGGGATCCACCAACAACCGTAGGGAAGAACCAGACATGGCATAAGCCGAACATGACATCCCGAAGGTGTCACTCCCGGCATCATGAGAGCACCACGACACTCTACCCCAGAACGCCTCACATAAGTTCGACGAGAATCAACCACAAGTAGCAACACACTGGAGCTAAAGTGTCAAACATCTACTGCTGTAAGGGCCAGTCGATAGAAGGCAAGGATTGGTCAACTTTTATACCGAGCGACTGTAACGGTCTATTTGTTACAATGTAGGGATTTGGAGATCCTTACAGTAGAATTCTGACAAGGAAATCTAAGGAGGCATATTGGTACCCAATCCGGCCCGTAGTTGAAGCAGACCTGACCAGCAAGCAAAGGCCCCAGCAAATTGAATGTTCCGCATCTAGGAGAAGCCCTCGCACTCCACATTTGGTCGACTTCCCACAACCCCAAACGCCACCCCGCCCATCTCCCACGCCCTCCAGCCTTCGGTGTGCTGCAAAAATCAGACAAGTGCTTGTTTCAACCGTTTGCAGCTGGGTCTGTCGGCAGGAGTTGAATGCGGGACCCTTGGCTGGTGAATTGGTCGTATGTAGGTACTCAAGTTCTCAAAGTCTCAACATCAGAGTTGTTCTTGGGAAGTTCGCTTCTGTTGCGTTTCAGTCGTGGCCTGTAAACGGGTCAGGGCGTATACCTTTGCGCAGGCCTGTCCTGAAACGCAACAGTACCACACTTGATCTACATACCCAGAGAGCCCAATATCCCTTAATAAGGAATATAGCTTAATTCTGAACATGAAGCCCCTTATAATTTGAGCTATATTCCTTATAATATTAAGCTGTATTGGGCTCTCCGGGTACACGTCCCTCGTGGTTCCGAAGCTGCTCTTGAAGCTGTCCAGATAACCGGAGAGATTGGTTCTAAGCACTTTACAAGGGACCCGTAATACGGACCCTTAATCCCATTACCTTAAATAATAACTATTATTAACCCCAATAACCTACAAGGGTCCCTATTAAGGGTCCCTCCTAAAGCCCTTAGATTGGTGCCAGCCTTCTCAAGGTGTCCTTTGGCGGCAAGAAGCTCGTCTTCCTGCACGGCCAGGTGTGGTATGTCAAAGTCAGAGCTCCAAAAATGAATCCTGTGTGGCTGGATATATCGGTGGCTAAACTTAGAAGGCCGTGTCCGTGTTTTTGGCAGCCCACAACCTTCGGTTCCAATAATGCTGGTCACAGCGGGACATCGACGAGGTGCTTGCTGGTCGACCCAACTCAGTTCAATTATCCTATCACTAACTGCAACAACTACATAGTACGCCCGGATGGCAGGGCTGAGTAGCTACAGTAGGCTTGCCGAACCGACCCTGAGCTCATATCAGGACGGGAAGGCCGAGAAAGACGGCAGGTACATGTGGATACCAGGTCTCGGGAATCATGATAGGCATATGCCGCAGGGCATGACCTTCAAACATACTTCCGAAAACACGGTGCACCTCACCCAGGAGCTCTGGGAAATCCGCCATCAGTCACGAGACGTTGCATCGTGGAGTAGGACCCTACCAGGCGAAAGCCTCGAAACCTCGAATAGAACGGAGATGAAGAAGCAGCAAGTTTGAATCTTGGTTAATGTAGGGGCCTGAATAATTAGAATAGGGTTTTGAGGGTTCCTGACTATGAGTATAGTACAATATACCCTAAACCCTATTCTTGATATTAAGGCCCCTATATTACAAAACGACGGGAGGTAGGTGTGTCCCTCTCTGCAAATTCTACCAAAGGTCGGGCTTGGTCCGAACACTCACATCTCCAACTCGTCAAAATTTCACGAAGGGGGCCTGAACAATCGGAGTAGGGGTTAGGGTTTAGGGTTTAGGGTTTAGGGTTTAGGGTTTAGGGTTTAGGGTTCTGAGGGCATGTTAAAGCTTAGTTAAGTTCTAAAAAGTGGACCCTGAGGAACAATATTGGCAATTATTCCGGCTTCTCATTACATTAGACTCGAGACCGTCGAGGACTGACTGAGCTCTTGTGGTTTTCCGGGTTCTTCCATTCATGAACAGTAGGATTTACGGTTTCTCAGTTTTAGGACTGTGGGCCCACAGCCTGGTATGTAAGTTCAAGAGATGGGTCAAGCTACGATTCAGACTCAACAGCTCACCGAGTCCACTAGCACAGCGATTCTCATACTAATTCACCAACCTCGCCACAACATCCCGAAAGAACCCCCAACCCCCCCCCCCGCCCCCACCCCCCACCTAAACCCTTCCCTTCATCGGAGCGCACCTTTTGGTCCAAGTCAATCTCGAGCTGCTGGGCCTTTGATGCACCACCGAAGGATCAACTGCGAGACCCGCACGGTGACAGGCCCTTTTGGAGGTCAGCAGGGTTTGGGGAGCATCCTCAAAGCGAGTCAGGAATCCTTGCAAGCGGAGACAGTCAGTTCTTGTGTCTATGTAGCTCAAAGCTTAGCTTGACCTGCTCCTCTTCTAAGATTTCTCTTCGAGATTCACTGAGCCAACTCCCTCACGCCAAGGTATCGATATTTGAGTGAAGATGCGCTCTTCCAGACTGCACCTCAGGCACCTCCTCCGAGTTCTCTGACTCAAACGCTTGAAGCTGCCCTTGAATCCTTCATTCCAGTGTTGCGGAGCATGACGTTGCGTTTTCCCGTGTGAAGTGAATCTGGCTGCTGGCAGTGCTGGCAGATGCTGGCAGAATCCACCATAAACCCTTCGGCCACGCGCAAGGCACTCTTCGCACCGTATAGAATCGCAAAAACTACGGGCCACACACAAACTTCTCGCACTTATCGAAAAAAGTGCTTCGCTCAGGGCTCCGGCATACCGCTTTATGGCCGTCATGTGGCTGGCAAGCTGCGGGTCCGTCGCCTGTGCAAGGTACAGGGCGAGCACGGCTCCCGGGGACATGGGAGTACCTTCGCTTGGATATTCAAGATGCTGAACTCCAGGAGCAGCGGACGCACAAGCACACACACGCACACACAAACACAGCTCAGAATAGAGCATCCGCAGGGATTTTCCAAGGGTTCAACATTCGGGACTAAACACTGCCTGCTTCGATAGCAGCGATGACTGCACCTCTGCACCCCGGCCTTTGGACCATGGGTGTTGATCAGCATCCGCAGCTGCGGCAGGCTGCCAACCTGTGGCGATGGGCGCTGAAGTTCTGAAGTTGAGCACTATAGAACCTCGAATCATAAGAAACCTCATCATGGCAGCTATCAGAACCAGAGACGAGTCTGCAAAACCTGGCAGCTGCTGTCACACATTTAGTAGCTGTCGTCGTCATGGCCCTGTGGCTACATGTTCTTCGTAAAGCAGTGCAGAAGATAATTCGGATGACTATTTGGCGATCCTGGTGCACGCCGCCGCGTTGTCATCAGGATTATGCTTATGCTCGCCCCTCCTCCTGATCATCATCACCATCATCGCCATCATCAATGGGCTTCATACTGAAAGATGTCGTGCTCACATTCGCAAGCAAGTCTAAGATTTACAAGGTACACACTGCTCGTCTCACTTCTTTGGAGCGACCAATGGAGTCCCACCCCTAAGCCCCAAACTCGACCCCTCACCCCCCAAATCCAGTGCGGCCATGCTGCGAACATGTCGTCACCCATCCTCGAGATGCTTGCGAGAAGAAGCGTCAAAAAACCAACACTGTGACGCTCAAGGCCAACAAAGTGGGGAGGTACGAAACTATAAGACAACAACGATGCCACGCACACTGACATCACATCTGAATGTCGCTATTGTATATACGGGGTGCTTAGGGGGTCTCTGCTGGGTGTCCCATGTTCGCCCACGATGGTCAGTCAGGAGCTTTGGCAGGCGAGGTTGGATCACAGTTATCCTGTGACCTGTAAGAGGGGCTGGAACGAAGATGGGGGAGTGCCAAATAGGAGGCCTGAGACAAGAGATCCTCCAGCAGCTACCCATTACCCTTGAATCTGGTTCGAGTATGGCTTCGGATCACTGCTTGATGCTCGGCCCGGTGCAGCGTGAATGCACCTCCCGGACAAGTAGCGCTTTGCGATGAGAAGTATGATTCTAAGCCCTAACGCCCCAGGTACCTACTATATAGGGTACTAGAGCCCTGGGGCCCTATATAGTAGGTACCTGGAGGGTTAGGGAAGCGTCTAGGCAGCCCGACTCACTCATCGCAGACTCTGAGCTCATGGCTGAGGTGCTGGTCGCAAGCCGGACTGCTGCAGGACCTGAATTCGGTTTCTCAAGGCTTATAGGTTTATATACATATATATATATAATATATATATATATATATATATATATGTGTGTGTGTGTGTGTGTCTGTGTGTATGTATGCCTCCAGGAAGTACAAGCTGTCCATGTCCCATTCCTCGTCTCGACCATCAACCCCGCGCAGGTTTCCGAGATTCGGGGACGAGTTGCCATTTACGCGCAGCCAGAAAGATGCCTTAGGCAACCCCCCTGGCCCACCCGGACCGGCCCTAAAACCTTCGAAACCCAGCGCACACACTAGGGGGCAAATGCAGACACTCTATGTCACAAGGCACCGAAAGGCACGCTCACGCCCTCAGGTTAGAAAGACACGCTCACGCCCTCAGGTTAGAATTCCCATGCCAAACGGAATCGCTATACCTGGACCCTGAAGAACCTACCTTTCTCAAGGACTTATACAAAGAAGCCATAGTAAGGAACCCTAAAAAGGTACGGTATATAGGGTTGAGGTATCGAGCCTCTGAGGCACGGCACCGTTTACTACCGCTAGCCTCATGTAAGCAACCTTGCACTTCCTGAGGTTCTCGAGCCTCCACCCCTGCTGCCCTAAATCTCTAAACCCTTTTAAATCCTAAACCCCTAAACCCTCAACCCCTAGACCCCTAAACCCAAACCTATAAACCCCTAAACCCGAAACCCAAACCCTAAACCCCTAAACCACCCTAAACCCTAAGCCCAACCCCTAAACCCTCAACCCCTACACCCCTAAACCCTCAACCCCGAGACCCCTAGACCCCTAGACCCCTAAACCCTAAAATCACCAAAACAACGGACCTGGATTTGAGAGCCCGGCGCGACGCAAGGCGTCGTCAACTGGTGGGTTGGGAGCCTTGCAAGGCCCCGGAAGCCCAAATGGTTTAGTATATTTTTTTTTTTTTTACGGGCCCTTTTCCAACCGCAGATCAGTTAGAATGGTTTAGGTTTAGGGGTTAGGGTTTATAAGGCTCTAGGGGTTTAGGGTTTAGGGTTAGGGTCTAGGGTTTAGGGGTTTCGGGGTTAGGGTTTCGGGGGCCTTACTAATTAGAATAGGGCTTTGGGCTCCTTTGGAGTATACTTAGAATAAGGAACCACCAGAAAAATATATAATAATATAGCTAATTATTTAGGCTCCTATAATAGGAAGCCATGGGGTCACTGAACCTGCACCCAGGCGTTGCAAAACTTCTTCACACCCGGAAGAAGCCGACTATAGGGGGCCTTAATAATTAGAATAAGGTTCCTTGAAAGGGTTACTATAAGGGTCATTATAAGGGCTATTATAAGGATAGAATGTAGGGGCCTTAATAATTAGAATAAAGTTTTGGGGCCCATTGTAGTCCAATTATAGTAAGGAGTATCAGTAAGTATTTAGGGCCCTACAGTAATTATCCTCGATGCCAAAGAGAATATCGCCATGGCTGCCCAAATCTCGTTGAGCGGCCCATATATCCAAACCCACCGGATAATCTGAACCCTGCACCCATAAACCCTAAACCCTGTAAACCCTGGGCTACGCTGCCAGGCTTCAGGCCGCGTGCGGCAGCCCGGGGGCGGTCGATTTACTCGTCCTAGGCACGGGGATGTCGGAGCTTTGGTCAGGTGCTCTTGCGCTTGGATTTGGGATTAGGGTTTAGGGTTTAGGGCTTAGGGTTTAGGGTTTAGGGTTTCCCTCTCGCATTGCAGAGAACTATGCTCACAGGCGAGGATTGGGATTTAGGGTTTAGGGTTTAAGGTTTAGGGTCCACTGACTTCTTTCGGGGCACTTACGGGCTGGCTTTGGGAATTGTGGTGTTATGATGTGTGAAACACCACAGATGACCGAAGTGCGCTTTACATGATGGCCCAACAAAGAAACAACATGTTGGGCCAAGGCCTTGTAGCGTTTATATCCCAGGCCTCCGCACATGTTTACAAACCTCAGCGTGAGCAAGGAACCTGTGTGTATATGTATATGTGCGAATTTGTGCTGCCGATACAGCAACCGGGCAGCGGTGATAGCACTTGATAAATAGAACAACTCGCCCTGAGCAGATGAGCAAGTAGCTGTAAAAGAAAAACATGTGAAACGACAATCAAGCTTCGAGCCGCCAGACTTGCTACCAAACTTTGGCGCACTTAGGCCGGAACGGCGTCTCCCACTGCGACAGCTGCGGATGCTGTTGCTGCCGTTGCTGCTTCAACTCTGCAGCCTCCGCATGGTGGAATGTGTCAAAGTCCACCAGACCCTGGAAGTTTCGACGTTTAGAGCTTCGAAGAGCTCCTTCAACCTCTTCGGCTTGCCCTTCGGAATCGTTCAACCCAACCTTGAAGCGAAGTACCTCAACATGCACGCCGATGCACGCTGCTCACCTGCCCAACTTCGCTAGCCCTAGCCCCCCAGGTACCTACTATATAGGGTACTAGAGCCCCTAAGGCCCTATATAGTAGGTACCTGGTTGGTTAGGGTAGCTCCTTGGAACTGAAGGCTCTCTTCCTCTCGCTCAGGATTGGCGTCTTCAGCCGTCCACGAAACCGAAGCCTTCTAACTTCCCAAAGACTCCAATACCCCTTAATTAAGGTATATACCTTAAATCTTATTAGGGATCACTACTATAATTTAAGGTATATTCCTTAGTAAGGGGGTATTGGAGTCTCTGGGTTCTAACAACACAAACTGCAAGCCTGTAACCCAGCTGGCATCCAAGACCCTGGTTCCGTGATGTTAAAGAACCAGAAGAAGCCAAGAAAAACACCCTGAGTTCTAAACCACCCTAAACCCCTATCCATAACCCTAAATCCATAAAGTCTAGACCAATAAACCTTATAAGCCCCTCGCCTCCTGAAATCAAAAACTCCTGCACCCTAAGCCCTTTTTTCGCAAGGGAATCGTCTGCTGCCCTTACTGCCCTACACCCTAAACCCTAAGACGCCTTCCTCTCCAGCTCCTGCTGCCTGCGCCGGAGGTCTTCGAGCTCCAGGTCCTCACACAAAGGCGTTCCACTAAGGGTCCGTATACCTTATGGGTGTATATGTATACGGTGTATATATATATATATAAGGTGTTGCACAGGGTATATATACATATATATATATATATACTTATATATATATATATATATGTGTGTGTGTGTGTGTGCATATATATATATATATGTACTTAGACTTGCCAATAAAGGGACTGCTTACAGGCCAAAGTATATACTACCTAGGCTCCCCTTTACAAAGTGTCCAAAACAACCCAGGCGCCTGGGTCTAGCCTCAGTTGTAGTACTATCGCATAGCTCGTTTGGGCGGCCAGTCCACATCCACTCCCCGCTGTCTGTTTGTCTGCCAGTCTGCCTGATTGCCTGCTGCCTGCCAGCCTGTCTGTCTCTCTGCCTGTGTCTCCGAGTCTCTCTGTACCTGGATTTGTCCGTCCGTGTCTGTGTTTGTCTGTCTCTGCTGTGCGTGTATCTGCATGTACATGTATATGGAAGCGCTGCATGTCGACAGGCCTGAAAATTTGAATACGGAACCACATGTCTACAGTCACATTTTTGGGTATTTGCAAACATACACCGACGTATTTTAGGTATGGTGGTTGGGTGGGTTCTTTTGAGTGGATGAAGGGGTGGACGGATGGGCGCAGGCAGGGTTTCTCCTGCTGTCGACGAGGACGTGCTGATGTAGTCCCCCCCCACAACTCGTTAGTTCCTGCGCAGAATATGGGGGCCTTCACAACTAGAACAGGGTTTTGGGGGTCTTTTATGGTCTAACTAGAATAAGCAACCCCCGACATAATATAGCTAATTGTTTAGGCCCTGCATTATATGCGCGAGGAGCGAGGATGCAGTTTCCAGCTGCGGCCTGGCTGCTTTCCCTCCGAGCCTTGTTTGACTGAAGAACCCTTGTAAGCACTTAGCCTAAGGATGCTTTAGGCATCTGTTGAAAGTGTCTTAAAGCACGCCACACCTGATAAACTAACCTCGAAAGGCCACTGGAAGGGCGCTTGACAGCCTCCAGCAGTCTTAGCATCAAGTTTGGAATTAGGAGTTGAAGCTCTCGCGCCCAGCGCTCACGGGCGAGAGCCTATCATCGTATATCTGCCATACTGGCAATGAATATATGAGCCGGCGTCAAAATTATT